ATATGTCCATGAATGACTGAAAATTGTGCTGAACACTGGAATTTGACACAACACTGTAAAATGATTATGAATCAATAAAAAATGTAAATAAAAAAATTAAAAAAAAAGAAAGCAAAATTATGGTTACCGGGGTTGGGGGAGAGGGTGGGAAGGGATAAATTGGGAGTTCAAGATTTGCAGATACTAATATATACAAAATAGATAAACAACAAATTCATACTGTATAGCACAGGGAATTATATTCAATATCTTGTAGTAACTTAAGGTGGAAAAGAATATGAAAACAAATATATGTATTTTCATGTATGACTGGGGCATTGTGGTGTACACCAGAAATTGATACAACATTGTAAGCTGACTATACTTCAATAAAAATATATTTACAAAAAAAATAAAGGAACAACTACATGATAGCAACTGACACTATAGATTGGCAAAATGATTTCACAACCAAGAACAATGTCAATTAAATTATTTATTTCTAATCACTCTCCTACATTAGGATTTACTGCCAATATGCTGGTAGATTTTGTGATACTTTAGCTAACTCAAATTACTTGAGGCTTTGAGGACCCAAATGATTTAGTAAGTTAAATCAATCTAGTCCATAGAAAATCAAGATAAAGATGCACACTATAGTCTTAGGGGGTGCATATGTGTTTGGGAGGGAGGTATTGTTGCTTTTTTTGTTTTTGACTAAATTTTAAAGCTCCCAAAAATACTCCAGGAAAGTTTAAGAGTTAGTAAGCCTGAAAAACAAGAAGTAAAATATTTCAAGAGGCAGATTCATCATTGATAGGTCAATAACTCATTAAAAGCCCATAAAAAGAATACTAATAATTTGCACTTTTTATAGGAGGCTTCATTCAGGAACCTTTAACATTTTACAAGCCTGATCTCATTCACCTTTTCAGAACTTTGGGGAGTATTACTTCTATTGCAGAGAGTAGCTATTCGGATTACAAATATATGGCAGAGAGGCTGTATAACTTGCCCATGGAATTATAATTCACAGACAGTTTGGGGGTGAGAGCTATGAATCCCAATAAAGTAAATAAGCAAAAGGATATATTGTACAGCACAGAGAAATAAAGGTATTATTTTGTGATAACTGTAAATGGAGCATAATCTGTAAAAATACTGAATCACTATGTGGTACACTTGAAGCTAATATAATACTGTAAATTAACTATACTTCAATTTAAAAAAAGCTTTGAATCCCAGATCCTTCCCAATTTATCTAAAAAGCAATTTTCCATAAAGAGATCAGATTCAAATGATTTCAATTTAGTGGGTCTTTGTAAAATGTTATTCTCTTTAAGTTGGACTTTATAACTCAGGTTCAAGATTTGTGAGAAACTTTATGTCTTTATATTACTAAGAAAAAGAAAATGTAACATGAAGTGGCATCAGTTCACATAGGTCTGGTAGTTCTTCTATCCTGTCTGGAAATAAACCATAGTCCTAAATTGGTGCAAATGTCATGTGGGAGGAGACATACAGATTACAGAACCATGAGGTAATTACTACAGCTTAACTGTCCCACAGAGAAGCTATTAAGTGTTCATAAACAGGGTTCTATGACAAGATTTAGCCTGTACCTTCAACATTTACAATTCTTTCTTTGGCATATTTAGGAGAAGAAATACTAGAAATTCCAGAAAATTAAGGATTTGGCTAATCTTGAGGGCATGCTTCAGGTACTTTAATGGATATGCAAATAACCCCAGGCACTTGTGAAAATACAGCTTACTAGGCTTAACCCCCAGAATTTTAGATTCCCTAGGTTTAAAGTGGGACCCTG